TTAATTGTAATTTATTAATTAAATCTATACGTTATAACACAGGAACCCATTAAACCAAACTAACGAACTATTATCTACTTCAATATACAAATATATAGACTAATTACTTAATCTTTAAAGAGCATAAGTAAAATTAGCACATCCATAAATAAAATTAGTTTCTTTAAATTTTTATTAAAAAAATTATGAAAATAAAACCCTCTTTTGTTTAGAACAAACTTAAAATTGATGTAGAATTCATTTATAAATATGCCTTTTATGTTAATCAAAAGTTTATGATATAATTACATAAAATTTGAGTTCATGTAAACTTACATAAAGAATTAACATAGTACATTCTATATTAATTTAAATAAAACTTAAAATATATTACCTTAATTTCACAAAAAAAATTTATCCATACTATCTTTTTTTTTTTAATATTCTAATAAGATATATATATATATTTTTATATTTAATTTTATTCATAAATCTATTTTATTTTATATGAATTTTAATCTTAATAAGAGTCATGCATTTAACCTACTAATTCGCCAATTATGAATTGGACAATTTAATTATTCAGTCATGAATGTCTAGCGGGAATCTTCGTACACAGTGAATAACTAAATTCTAATTGAAATATAATAAATTAATGCAATTTAGAAAGAATCAATAAAAAGAAATCAATTCAAATCTTGAAGTTTTGAATTAAATTAAGTGGAGATAATTATCTTCACATAATTTCCAAATGTCTTCCCAAATTTTTATTTATTGAGAATTAAATGCCTTCAGAATTTAAATGATTTTTAAGCTAATGATGCGGACCCAATGCCTCCCCTATAATTCTTTTAACAATTTCTTCTTAGACCCTAGTAATAAATTCCACATATAATATCTAATATTTTTTTAGGAAATATATTATACTCATCTATATATATATAAATATTATGTAATATTTGTGTTCGAAATTTAATCCGAGATTAATTTTAACGTTAAAAAATGTGTAAAAATTTATTTTTGAATTAATAAATTTTAATTTAATATAGAATTATTAAAAAAATAAATTAAGGATGAAATTGAAAATAATTTTGAAAAAAAAGAGTTAAAATTTGGATTACGAGAGTGTTTTTGAAATAAAAATTGAAAACTAGAGGTTAGAATGCAATTAAAAAAAATTGCGCCACATAAGACTGTCCAATCAGCAGCCCCGACTAACCGAAGCGCGCCGCGTCGCAAAGCACGCTGACTCGGTGCCACACGAGAGGCCACGTTGGCGATTCGAGTACCCCACGATCGGACAGTCTGGAAGCGTTCGTGCGCGCGTGGACAGTCTGGATCCGTTTCATTTTCAAACACGATCGGACTGTCGCAATTAAACGCGATTGAATGACTCAGATTCATTCAATCTTTAAACACGATTAGACGGTTTAGATCAAATCGCGATGAAGAGTGCATATTAATTTTTTCTTTAAATGTGATCGAACGGTCGATATCTAACGCGATGAACGATTCAGATTTACGAGAGACGGGTATAAATATTTTGCATCACATCGAACCCAAATTCTGGTTGGAAGCCTCATGCCGCCACGCCGGAGCAACCTTCGACCACCAAAAAAGGTAAAAATTCTCTTATCCATTTAGAATTTGATTCCAAGCACCCCATGGTCAAATCGGAGCAAAAAAAATGGCAGGTGAGCTGAAAATAAGGAGTAAAGCCTGGCAACGCTGCCGCGGGCAAAACTCGAAACTTCATCCGATGAGCCCCTTCTCGTTTCCCATTTCGTACGATTTTCTCACCATTATGTTCACCGTTCTGTTTTCTACAGGTTGTCCGAAGAACAACGTCCAACCACGAGAGTGAGTCGGCAGAGCCACCGCACCGAAAAATTTCACCGCCGTTAAGTTTCTGTTTTTGATTTTTTTTGGGTCAACTGAGGCCCCCTAACGTA